GAAATTGTTCTCTTCTGAATTTAGATTTAAGTTCATTATTATTATAATACTCTGAAATAGTATGAAGCCAACAGTAAAGGTAGCATCAACAGGATAGTGTCATTCTAAGGAAAAATTACAGGATCTAAAAAATGAAAATATTTCTCAGTGTTTAAGAAAAAAGTTTTTGAGGTTTGCAGAATTCTATAGATGGTCCCCTATGATTCTTGTTTTTTGGTCACTAGCACTAATCTGGATACTGTTTAAAGGGACTTGGTAAATCAGTTGACTTTAAAGTGGGGATTTTATCTGGCGATATGCACATAAGCCTTCTAAAAGTTGGGTGTTTTCTTCATCTAGTAACGGCAGAGGAAGTCAGAGGGATTTGAAGTGTGTGAAGGAGTCAGCAAACCATTGACTTTTTAAACATGGAAGGGACTGGTGTGTAAGGACCAGAGTGGCCACAAGGAGCATAGGGCAATCTCTGACACAGTCTTCAGCACTGTGATCACAAGGAATATAATTCTTCCAGTAACTCTGAACTTGGCAGAGGATCTCAAGTCTCAGACGAGGACTACAAGCCCAGCCAAAACTTAACTTCGCCTGTGAGCCTTGGGCAGAGGATGCTGCTGACCCACAACAGAGCTCTAATTAAAAATACCGTGAGACAACAGATGAGCATTGTTTTAGGCCACTAAGATTTTGTTTGTTCTTTTGTTGCAGAAACCATAGAAATAAATATATTTTAATACTAAATAAACATCATTTGTTTTCCATTCTGGCCCTTGCTAAATTGGTGATTTGTCACTTAGTTTTGGTCTCAGAACACCTTTAAATTCTAAAAAATTACCAAGAACCTAATTTGGTTTTTGTTTTTGTAAATATGTTTATCATACTAGAAACTAAAACTGAAAACTCCTTAAGTATTTTGTCTCAATTCATTTTTAAATGCACACATCATAGGTTAATAGAAATATTATCTCTCATACAAAATCACTAGTATAAATAGTGTAAAATACTTTCCCATTTTAAGTGTTTGGTTTCATAGTAGACAGCTACATTTAGTATTTCTTCAGCATCCCATATCATGTAGCCTCTGGACAATTTCAATGTGTACTCATAGAAGAATAAAGGATTAAAAAGGCAAAAGGTGTTTAAATGTTATTGTCAAAATAGATTTGATTCAATGAATCCTTTGAAATGTTCTCAGCAATTCTCAGAGGATCCTGGATCACCCTTAAAGAATTGCTGACAGTATGTTTAGACATCAGTCTTAATATCTGTAAAATGGGGATAGTTATTAGATTAAAATATATAGCCCATATAAGAGCACTTGACACATGTTTTGAAGCATAGTAAGAACTCAATAATGGTTGCTAATGGCTGCCATTATCCATCCTCATTTGTATTTCCATGTCCTACTGCAGATAGACACACTTGGCTTGGGGAGAGCTATACCATACCTCTCAACCATCTAAAAGTCATAGCCTCTCAGCTGGGCACTGGTGGCTCACACCTGTAATTCTAGCTACTTTAAAGGTTGAGATAGGGAGGATGGCAGTTCCAGGCCAGCCTGGGAAGAGAGTTCTTGAAGCCCCATTTCAAAATAACAACCAGAGCAAAGTGGACTAGAGCTGTTGTTCAAGCAGTAGAGCACCAAGCCCTGAGTTCAAACCGTCAATCCCAACCAAAAAAAAAAAAAATGAAAGTCACATCCTCTCAAATAACCTCATTGTGAAGAAGATTGTAGAAAAGCATGAAGTCATACAAGCACAAAATTGTAAGAGTTTAGTTATTGCATTTTGTGATCTCTGTATCAGTTTCACTACCCTCAAAATACTCAAAAGTTTGTGCACAAATAATGTGATGCCCATTACTGCCATGGTTGTCCCTAGAATTTTTCCTCCAATGAATATTAGGCACAATCTTTGCACTCCTCCAGAGAGAAGATTTAAAATATCTCACACTCTTCAGGAAGAAAATTAATAGGCGTGATATCTTATGATCCTTCTGGGAACCTGAACTCTCAAGAGAAACTCGACAATGTTTGTATTTCTTATTCTAAAATAAAAGCTTTGTTCCTGGGTTCTTTAAGTTTTAGAAATTCCAGTGAATCCTCCCATAACTGGGGTTCCATCTGATGAAGACTACAAGAGGGAGTGGGGTTCTGAACCTGTTTTAGAGGTATGCTTATCTTTTCTGTGGCATTTATGCTAAGTTCAAGTATTTACCTTAGGGGAAAAAATCTAATGCTAACATCTTGGGTTGAGGAGGTGCATTTGTGCTGGGAAGCAGTTTTCAGTATGGGTAGTTGAAATAGAACTGTATGACTGTAGATCCCATTAGGGTTTTGTCAAACGAATGACAATACTGGGTGATTTTCCTTTCTGACTCAAAGTGTGCATTGCATGCAGGTAGCTGGAAAAGAACCAATGCCCAACCTCAAGGTATGGAACATCTCTTCCCACTTTGTTGCGGGGTCCAAGGACTCTTCAGCATCTCTCTCATCTCCTCCCAATGTGACCCCATGGGTGTGGTCAGAACTAGCACTATCTCTCAATGAGAAGAGATCCAAGAATGAGAAGCACATCCAGGCCATTGTCTCTGAATAAGGATGTTAGACAGTAAATTAATAAAAGAATTTTATATATTGCCTAGGCTAAATGAAAACACTGATGGCCAGGAAAAGCTCTCTCAAAAGGAAAATACTCAGTCTACTTGCAATAAATCTTTTCCCTGTAAAAACAGTATAAAATGTAAGGGTGTCATGTAATTGCTTGTTTTTAGAACTATTACAAATATCACTCTATCATGATAACTAGCAGACCTGAATTCACCTTATTTTTATATAAATGTCTTTCCTAATACTACATAGGAGAGGATGAGTTAGCAGCCAAATCTGATACAGAGTTGGAGAAATGAACTGAGCCCCTAGCTATAGAAACATTCTGGCAGTACTGTCTGGGTGGAAAATTGCTCAGAATGATCATGGAAACCCTCTGTCTTCTGAGGTGTTGTGGTTTTATTTACTCTGTTGGAAATGTGAAATTTTAAGCATAGTTAGAAATATATGTATTTAATATGCAGATAATATACTGTACACTTAATATAAATATCATATATGAATAACTAAATCCTCAACTGAGTAAAATATTATTCACCTAATTAATGAATATTTTCTGGATGTCTGTTTTATCTGGGTAACCTGGTAAAAAAGTAACCACACACATTACAAGCTAGATTGTACCTTAGCTTCTGGAGTATTAATTTTCATTTAATATTTTTTCTTTGTATCTAATATCATGCTGAGATGACAATAAACCCAAGTAATTTCAACAGGCTTCACCAAAGTATAGGAGGATCAGTGTCCCTCCAGGAAGCAGCATGAAAGAAGTTGCCATAATAATGAAACAACACAGGAAAAGTGAACTTAGCATTACAAAATCATGAGTGCTAAATTCAATACTCTATCTTGCTTGTTTCTTACAGTGATTTTTATGTGATTCAAGACAGATATCTTTATGCACATACATAGATATATTGATTGAAAGAGCACTTCAAATTCTCAGAATTTACTGTAGGATTTCATTAAAATAACAACCAAGTGTGTATAACAATTTGATTACTCATTAAATTGCACATAATCCAATGAGAAAATATATGAACTAAATTACAGTATTTGTATTTAGTAGAATAGACAATTACTCGGTATATGTTGGAAATAAATACTTTGACATAGAAAATTGTTTTTGTTATATCTCTAAATAATAGACATAGTTAAACTGTTGTTTCACATAATTTGTTTGGGTGGTACTGGGATTTGAATCTGGGTCTCATGCTTGCTAGTTAGTCTCTCTACTACTTGAGCCACTCCACCAGCCCTTTTTTGTGTTGGGTATTTTCAAGATAGGGTCTTGCGAACTATTTGCTCAGGCTGCTTTCAAACCACAAACATCTTCCTGATCTCTACCTCCGGAGTAGCTAGGATTACAGGCTCACACCTGTATGGCTGTTTCATATAGTTTTTAAATTCATAATATATATGCAAATAGATGTAAATTAAAAGTTATTTGAAATGATCGCCTTTGGTTATAAGTTTCAAGTTATTTTCTCTTCAGCCTTTCAACCACGGTTTTATAAATTTTTAAATATTTTTTAAATTTTGTCAAAATTTGACACAAGATAGGTATTACCTTGCTCACACAATGAAATGTACTTGAAATTAATCTCTAAACCTAAAATGCTAGAGTCTAATTTTCTAAATAAGATGAAAAGTCAGATAACAATATGAACCTAATAAGCTACCACCTGACCACAAGTTAATATTGTACACCTACTCATACTGTACACTGAGGAGGACTTGGTTGGTGCTAAAAGTGAATAATCTGAATCAAAACAAAGGAAACAGTGTATACTTTCAATTTAAGGGATATTCTACTGAAATATGCTGTGTGCTCTTCAAAATATCAGTGTCTAGACAGAAAAAAAAAGGCTGAGTAAATATTCTGATGCAAGGAGACTAAGGAAAGAAAAGTGAAATCTTGGATTAGGTCCTAGAGGGGTGGAAATGGAAGAAAAATACTGGATATTAGAGAAAAGAAGTATAAAGATTACATTTCCTGATGTGTATAATTGTGGTGTGACTAGGTTAGTGAATAGCTTTTGACTTGTTGAAGAAATAAGAAATTTATAGGTAAAAGAGAATCATGCTTACATTTTAATTTAAATAGTTCAAAAACGTGAGCACATAGAGAAAGTATAAGATAAGCAAGAAAGAAATATTAACTTATGCTCAATCTAGGTAAAGGTACATGCAGGTTTTTGCATAATTCTTGACATTTTTCTATGTGTTTAAATTTGTTTCAAGAGAAAGTGTTCAAAACAGAGAACAACTGTTGGGAATTAGGGAAGCTGTCAACCTTTCTCTGAGCTTATTTTGAGAAAAATATGTTCAATTCCCAAAGATTCTTCAGCTCTGACCATTCTCCCGCACTTCACTCATTGACAGAGTGTCATTAGGAATGGGAGGCAACCAGTCATGGGTCACGGGATTCATCCTGGTGGGACTCCGGCTCAGTGCAGAGATAGAAGCATTCCTCTTCTGGATCTTCTCCCTGTTATATATCTTTGGGCTGCTGGCAAATGGCATGATCTTGGGACTCATCTGCCTGGACCCCAGACTGCATACCCCCATGTACTTCTTCCTCTCACACCTAGCCATCCTTGACATGTCCTATGCTTCCAATAATGTTCCCAAGATGTTGACAAACCTCCTGAACCAGAAGAAAATCATCTCCTTTGTTCCATGTATAATGCAGACATTCTTGTATTTGGCTTTTGCAGCTACAGAGTGCCTGATTTTGGCAGCGATGTCCTATGATCGATATGTGGCCATCTGCCATCCCCTACGTTACACTGTCATCATGAGCTGGACAGTGGGCATGGCCCTGGCTGCTGCTTCCTGGTCATTTGGATTTATCCTCTCTGTTGCACATTTGATTCTTCTCCTAAGGCTGCCCTTTTGTGGGCCACGGCAAGTAAACCATCTCTTCTGTGAAATCCTAGCTGTCCTCAAGCTGGCCTGTGCTGACACCTGGATCAACCAAGTTGTCCTCTTTGCTGCCTCTGTTTGTGTCTTAGTTGGTCCTCTTTGCTTGATGCTTGTCTCCTACATGCACATCATCTGGGCCATCCTAAAGATCCCATCAAAGGAGGGCCGCAGAAAGGCCTTTTCCACCTGTTCCTCCCACCTCTGTGTGGTTGGGCTCTTCTTTGGTATAGCCATGCTGGTTTATATGGTTCCAGATTCTAATCAACGAGAGGAGCAGGAGAAAATTCTGTCTCTGTTTCACAGTCTCTTTAACCCAATGCTGAATCCCCTTATCTACAGCCTGAGGAACACTCAGGTCAAGGAAGCACTTCATAGAGCATTGCTGAAAAAGCCCATGTGAGTGGCCAATAAAATGTAGGCTGGCCTAGTAAAACATATGGCTTGCTGAAACAAAAGCTCAAGGAAAATTTCCCAATTGGGAAATTGGGTGTAGAAATAGTAAATGTTCAAACTCCTGTTCTGAAAATAGAGAAAAATAACATGTCATAATAATTTATACTACCTTCCACTGAAATCTCTTTATGGAGTATGAACCCAGCTTCTGGATTAAATTCCTATGTTGAGAGTCACTCCTACTCAAAGAGTGAGAGAGTAGAACATTATCCTTCCCTGACAATCTGCATCAATTTCTTAGCATTTTATTACAAATGATTCATTTTAAAGGAAAGAAAACTAAACCCAGAGCAAGCAGAATAAATAAATTGAAGGGGCGCTGTTTCTCGTGCTCCCTTCCTTGCTGGAGCAAGGTTTTCTCTTTCGCTCTTTAGTTATTACTGGACCTAACTGGGCTTATCTGGGGGACCTGGAGATTTTAGAAAAGACACAGGATAGACAGATAAACAGAAAGTTAGGGTCAGGTGTATAATATGTGCAGCTGGAGACACACAACCCTCATTGCTTCTCTTCTCTATGTTGATTCTTTAAGACCTTTCTCCTTGTATTCTTTTTTTTTTTTTTTTTAAGAAAAGCAAAATTTTATTAGGACACCATAAAAAAAGGAAAGATGGCAGGAGCTAGTCAAGGGAGCACAGTGTGCCAAGTGTGGCTTGAGAATAGGTTTCATATTTTGAGTTAGGCTACTTTTATTTTTTTTTTTCATTTTTCTTTTATTATTCATATGTGCATACAAGGCTTGGTTCATTTCTCCCCCCTGCCCCCACCCCTCCCTTACCACCCACTCCACCCCCTCCCGCTCCCCCCCTCAATACCCCGCAGAAACTATTTTGCCCTTATCTCTAATTTTGTTGTAGAGAGAGTATAAGCAATAATAGGAAGGAACAAGGGGTTTTGCTGGTTGAGATAAGGATAGCTATACAGGGCATTGACTCACATTCGCTGGTAAATGGATGGAATTGGAGAACATCATTCTGAGTGAGGTTAGCCTGGCTCAAAAGACCAAAAATCGTATGTTCTCCCTCATATGTGGACATTAGATCAAGGGCAAACACAACAAGGGGATTGGACTATGAGCACAGGATAAAAGTGAGAGCACACAAGGGAGGGGTGAGGATAGGTAAGACACCTAAAAAACTAGCTAGCATTTGTTGCCCTTAATGCAGAGAAACTAAGCAGATACCTTAAAGCAACTGAGGCCAATAGGAAAAGGGGACCAAGAACTAGAGAAAAGGTTAGATCAAAAAGAATTAACCTAGAAGGTAACACCCACGCACAGGAAATCAATGTGAGTCTCCTTGTATTCTTTAAAACCTCTTTCCTTAGGCTCGCACTGTCCCATGTTTGCTCTTAGCTTATCTTTACTTTAATCGCTCTTAATGTCTTTTGCCCCCAGGCTCGCACTGTCCCATCTCTCTTCAGCTCCCTCAAATCCTCGGTGCTCAAACTTGAACAGCTGCGCCTACAACCTGCACATGCATAGCTCTTAAGGTCTCCGTCCTTACACTTGCTCTGTGCACTGTCCCCTGTCCTCTTTGGCTTTTCTTTAGCTTCAGCTTTCCTAAGGCCCATGTGTGAAGTTCTTTCTCAGCTTTGCTTTCTGAAGCCTGTGTTAAAGTTCTCCGTGCAGACTTTCTATCAACCCCTCCTTAGCACTTTCCCTTCAACAGTTCGTTTCCCTTCAGCAATTTTTCCCTTTTCCCTTCAGCATTTTCCCTTCAACAATTCTTTCCCTTTTCAAAAGCCCAAAGTAAAGCCCCCAAAAGCAAAAGCAAAAGCCTCCAGCTCTCCTTGAATGGGCCTTTTACAATCAGCAGCAAACAGGGTGTTGCAGCGGTTCTCGGGGAGGGGTGTGACATTGCAACAGGAGAAACCTGTGTTCCTGCTTCTCTGAATGCAAACTTAGGAGATGCAGCTTTCTGCTTTTTTCTGTTTCTTGCAGGGGCTGTGCCTACCTCGGCCTACAGGTAAAAGCAATTAACTGCATCTCGCCTTGCTTGTGTCCAGTTCTCATAGGCTTTAATCTGCTCCCCACATTAAATATTTAAAAAGCAGAATATTTCTCTACTCATTCTAGGAGGTCAGTATCATTGATACCCAAGACATTACCGGAAATGAAAACTACAAGCCAATATTTTTATGTGTATAGACGTAATTATTCTCAACAAATCCCAGAAACCAAATCCAGCAAACATGGCAAAGAATAAGACCATGACCAAGTAAGATTTATTCCAGGAAAGCAGGGTTATTTTAACATTCAAAACTCAGTGTAATAGCCATGTTAACTAAATAAAAGAAAAAAACCATAATCTCTCATTACAGGTAATTAAAATATTTGACAGTTCCAACAACCTTTTCATCACAGACAGACACACACACACACACACACACACACACACATTCAACATGCTAGAAACACCAGATAACTTCTTCAGTCTGATAAAGGGCAGATGAGACAGCCGTGTGTTAGCTCATAAGTAACTATTGAAGACTGGATGCTTCCCCAGTAAGATAAAAGGAACAAGATAGAGAATGCCCTTTCGTGCTATTGAATTCAGCATTGTGCTGGAATTTCAAGTAAGGACACTTAAGTAAGAAAAAGAAAAGACATACAGTTTAGAAATAAATAAGTAAAACTGTTGTTAAGTGATATTATCCTGGGTAAAAGAAATCTTAAAAACATCAGTTAAAATGAATTAAAGTTGCAGGCTAAAAGTTATGAACACAAAAATCAGTTATAGTTCTGTCAAGTTCTGAGCTAAGCTGGAAACGGCTGAGTTTCCATGTGTCTAAGTAGACAATAACAAGCCATGCTGAAGGCCTGTAATCATTAACTATGATAATATAAGCAAGAGATTAGGTCAAGGAAGCTCCAACTTCCACACTATTCTATTTTTCCTTTTGGCACTGCACAGGACAAAGCGCTGGCCCTACAGATAATCAACTCACTGCTGAAGGAGCTCCAGACATAAAGACATGCTGCTTCATAGACCTGGATGTGCGTACAAATGATGAGAGGTGAAGGCGAGAGGAAAAGACAGGGAATGGAAATATTGAGGCAGAGTGGAGAAAAGGTGTTGTCAAGTTTCCCCCTCTTCCTATAAGAAGTTCAAAAAAGAGGCACAAGAGGAATGCCTCCATCAAAGGCTCAAATAAAGAGGCCTTGAAATGGAAGTGCCTGGCTAGCAATGCAAAATTCAGAAGAACATTGCTAGCCTAGAGGTCTGATTCTTGACCGCAGCTCCCTCTCAGAGACTACAGTGCATTGACTGTGCATTCTGTTTGGTGAGGGAAGGTCAGCTTTCTCTTGTGAGGCCTTCCATGTACAGCCTTGATAATTACCTATGGTCAAGCCTGACAGATCATACTGAACTTTAGCCAGACCCCTTTGCATTTCTCTATTCCATTATGAATCAGAATGGATCATATTTTGAGGAGTTGTGTCAAGAACTGGGTAATTAGTCTGAGGCAACAGTGGACCACAATGATGATCAGAATCACCTCAGTCTGCCGAGGCCTGCCTGGAGAAGTTTTAGCCATGAGCCCCAACCAGTGCCCCAACTAATCTTTTCCTGCTACTTGACAGACCCAGAAGGCTTTTCCCTCAAGTTTTGGTATAAATATTATTTTTTTGACCTGGAGCATAAATTTACAAACAGTCCAGGAGGTCTGGCCAGTTGAAACTGACCTGAATGTCTTCCAAGATGGAAACTGTGTCATGATACACACAGAAGGATAATCCCAAAGGCCATGTGTGGGTGCCATGTCAGACAACCTTTCTGAAAGGATTTCCAATTTAGCAATGTGGTGTTCCATTATAGGACCATATTGCCCAGAATTATTAATCCAGTCCAAATAATTGAGTCTTGCCTTTGGTTCGGGAATTTTCTGGGGAAATCAGTCCTAAACAGTTTTGTTTTTCTGTGATGTCACGTTTACAGGCATAGATGTCAGTTCTACGATGAAGAGTAGTATGGCTCTTTGTGTAGCTGTTGGCACCTCTCAAAGACTGACATGGGAGAGAGGTGGAGAACACAAAACAGGTGGTAGACAAGTAGCCCCTATAAACCCAGTGCTGTAGAGCTTTGGGTGATGGAAGGTCTGAGCCACAAAGCATGTCCCATTCAGTAATCAAACTGTCTTTAAAATTTATCCCTTATTTTATCTATGTCTTTTGTCCAGAAGTGTTGTATGAAAGAGGGACAAAAACATTTTTATACAAAAGCATTTTTATGTAATTTAATCAGAGAGCTAGAGTATGTTTAAGAGTTGGCCAAAAATCCTAATTTTAAAAAACACTAATTTTTTTAAATGTGCTTACAAAGCCTCTCATTCTCTACTGTTTATTAGTTATTTACTCAATTTGTGTCTTTAGAAAGGGATTGAAAGAAATGGAAGGTACTTGCCTGGGCCCCACCAAGATCAAAGTGTCAATAACTAAAAGAAGGGCCCACAAAGGGGAGGGGCAGGCAGTTGGATAAAACCCAAACGAAAAGTGTCCTGTCCAGGAATCACTGCATTGAAACCAGACTGTTTATCTGAAACACATCATCCAGGGTAGACTCAGTGTGTCCTGTCTGATCAGTTGTTTAAGACTGCCCGTTAATTGTTCATTAAAATGCTCATTCACCTTTGCAGCGTGGCCCTAGCTCTATCGACCATAAGTGAATTCTTCATATCTGTGCTGGTCTAGCTGATCCTCAGTTGGTCCCATTTCATGAAGAAAAATGGAAATTGGGGATTCGGCACTTCTTTTTGTCCTCGTGACTGTATCACATGATGCAGTGTTGGAATTGATAACCCTCTGGTGCCAGAAAGCAAACACACAAGAGACAGAAAATCTTGACAAAGCAATTTCTCTTGATGAAGAGGGTGCAAGCATGTGCTCACTCCCACTAAGCAACATGCAAGCACAAATGGCTGACAGTGGCTCCTCCTTATACCCCT